TTGTGGAACTCTGAAACATGGTGTCATACACAATGGGTTTTTATCTTTCTCCCTCATTCTATCTCTTTCAATCTGTCTCTCTCTTTCTATCTGTTGTCTATCTCTGTCTCACAGGTACACATAAATACAAGTATACATAGTATAAATTACCTAGGATAACCCAAGAAATCCAGACAAAGTGCTATACTCTGCTTGAAGATGTGAGTAAAAGTGATGACACAGTCTTGTGGCTCTCTGAGACAGAGAGCTAGACGGATAGACAGATAGACAGGGAGCTTGACAGACAGACAAATAGACAGACAGAAATGTTAGTGTACCAGTACCAGTGACTAGTGTTTTCCCCCCCCTCCTCCTCCTCTTCTTCCTCTTCCTCCTCTTCCCCCTACTCTTCCTCCTCTTCCCCCTACTCTTCCTTATACTCTTCCTCTTCCTCCTCTTCCTCTTCCTCCTCCTCCTCTTCCTCCTCCTCCTCTTCTTCCTCTTCCTCCTACTCTTCCTCCTCCTCCTCTTCTTCCTCTTCCTCCTCTTCCCCCTAATCTTCCTCCTACTATTCCTCTTCCTCCTCCTCTTCCTCTTATTCCTCTTCCTCCTACTCTTCCTCCTCCTCCTCTTCTTCCTCTTCCCCCTACTCTTCCTCCTCCTCCTTCTTCTCCTCGTCCATAGTGTAAATTACAAGGAGTCGGCAGCTGTCAAAGTGACATATTGGCTCATTACTCTTTCCCCCTCCGGCCTGTCAAAACAATGGGGTCGGATGCTGCTTCCCCTCCTCCATTCTATCTAATTATCTTTCCCCCCTCATTCTATCTGTCTGTCTATCTCTGTCTCACAGGTACACATAAATACAAGTATACATAGTATAAATTACCTAGGATAACCCAAGAAACCCAGACAAAGTGCTATACTCTGCTTGAAGATGTGAGTAAAAGTGATGACGCAGTCTTGTGGCTCTCTGAGACAGAGAGCTAGATGGATAGACAGGGAGCTTGACAGACAGGCAAATAGACAGACAGAAATGTTAGTATACCAGCAAAAACAAAGGGAGGGCGATGTTCATCTCATCTTTTGGCATCAGCTCTACCCTCATTTACCCTCATCAAACGTCAGCACTTATCAGATGTTATCTCCCCTTATCTTGTTACTGTCATGGGTGAACATTTATTATTACATATTATTATTATTACCTATTATTATTATTATGTATTATTATTATTATGTATTATTATTATGTATTATTATTATGTATTATTATTATGTATTATTGTTATTACGTATCTCTTCTTCTTCCTCCTCCTCCTCCTCTTCCTCCTCCTCCTCCTCTTCCTCCTCCTCCTCCTCTTCTTCCTCCCCTTCTTCTTCCTCCTCTCCTCCTCCTCTGCCTCCTCCTCCTCTTGCCTCCTCCTCCTCTTGCCTCCTCCTCCTCTGCCTCCTCCTCCTCTGCCTCCTTTCCCCCTCCTCCTCCTCCTCCTCTTCCTCCTCCTCCTCCTCTTCTTCCTCCTCCTCTTCTTCTTCCTTTCCTCCTCCTCCTCCTCTCCTCCTCCTCTGCCTCCTCCTCCTCTGCCTCCTCCTCCTCTTGCCTCCTCCTCCTCTTGCCTCCTCCTCCTCTGCCTCCTCCTCCTCCTCCTCCATTCTTGGAACAAGTTTGAAGAGCTTGTAGTTCATAATCACTATCATTATCATCACCAATGCTCACATCTGAGTCTGGGATTTTGGAAAATAGGAGTTTCCTCTTTGATTCTGGTACAACTGAAACGACGGCCCAGCACCAGAGGTGGAAGGCTGAGGGTTGTCTGGGTTTTCCTCACTATTACCCATATTATGGTCATTAGTTTCGGTCAAAACCTCACCAGAACCTTGAAACTCATCTTCACTGTCACTTCCATCTGTATTAGAACTGTCACTGGGGAACAAAAGTGTCCCAATTTGCCGAGGAGTGAGGAACTTCTTACCGCAGGGCACGGTGGAAATTGTGTACTATGATGGCATTCCCACAATGCACCACTGGGTCCCAGATTTTTTTCCTACTGCGCACACCCACCACACAGACCCATTCTCTCACATCTAGGCTTATCAGCCTTTTCCTGCGAGATTTGAGGCCGCTAGAATTTATGCGTACTAGTACGTCAAAAACCCCTACGCGTAAGACGTACTAGTACGACCAAAACCCTCAAAGGGTTAAGGAAACGTTTCGCCACACAGTGGCTTCATCAGTCCATACACAGGAGAAGCTTCATCAGTCCATACACAGGAGAAGCTTCTCCTGTGTATGGACTGATGAAGCCACTGTGTGGCAAAACGTTTCCTTAATAAAGATACCCAAGAGTTGCACATGTGTCTAATTTATCAACGTGTCGGTTCTGTGAACCATTCATCTACAAGAAAATAAAAGAAAACCCAGAGGGATGTGTATATATATGCTTGTACGTACATGTATGTGTAGTGTGACCTAAGTGTAAGTAGAAGTAGCAAGACGTACCTGAAACCTTGCATGTTTATGAGACAGAAAAAACACCAGCAATCATATCATCAGGTAAAACAATTAGAGGCTTTCATTTTGCATTCACTTGGCAGGACGGTAGTACCTCCCTGGGCAGCTGCTGTCTACCAACCTACTACCTAGACTCTATCATATGCCTTTTCTAAATCCATAAATGCAATAAAAACTTCCCTACCTTTATCTAAATACAGTGGACCCCCGCTTTACGATCACCTCCCAATGCGACCAATTATGTAAGTGTATTTATGTAAGTGCGTTTGTACGTGTATGTTTGGGGGTCTGAAATGGACTAATCTAATTCACAATATTCCTTATGGGAACAAATTCGTTCAGTACTGGCACCTGAACATACTTCTGGAATGAAATAATATCGTAAACCGGGGGTCCACTGTACTGTTCACATATATGCCTCAATGTAAACACTTGATCTACACATCCCCTACCCACTCTGAAACCTCCTTGCTCATCCGCAATCCTACGTTCTGTCTTACCTCTAATTCTTTCAATTATAACCCTTCCGTACACTTTTCCTGATATATGTACTCAGTAAACTTATTCCTCTATAATTTTTACAATCTCTTTTGAGCCCCTTCCCTTTATATAAAGGAATTATACATGTTCTCTCCCAATCCCTAGGTACCTTCCCCTCTTTCATACATTTATTAAACAAAAATACCAACCACTCCAACACAATATCCCCCTCTGCTTTTAACATTTGTCATGATTCCGTCAGTTCCAGCTGCTTTACCCCATTTGATTCTATGTAATGCCATGCACCTCCCCCACACTCGCATCCTGCTCTTCTTCACTCCTAAAAGATGGTATACCTCCCTAGCTAGTGCATGAAGTTACCACCTCCCTTTCTTCGTTGACATTCAAAAGTTCCTCAAAATATTCCCCCCATCTACATATGTAATATGTAATAATTCATATGTAATAATAATAGTAATAATAATAATAAAAAATAATAATATTAATAATGAGAGCTTCAGAACACCACTAAGTGCACTGTTTACCTCGGTGTGGGAGTATTTCTTTCATGCTTTCCTTACATTTTTAACAGACATTTGGCCAAATTTTGTTTTTCTAAGCATGGGTCCTAAGAAAGAAAGCATAAAGGACAGTGCTGAGAAGAAAAAGAGGATGATTTCCATGGAATTAAAGTATGAAATCATAGATAAACAAGCAAGGTATGCAGGTTTTGGGTTGAGCGGGAAGCGAGGGGAGCTGGCTCGTAACTCGGATGTTGGCTCGTGACTCAGAGCAAAAAATCGACCGAGCGATGGCTCGCCTCTCAAAAAAACTCGTATGTTGGGACACTCCTAAGTCAACATTCCACCATACTTTCATCATTCAACACTTTCACCTCACTCCCACATAATCACTGTCTTTGCAGAGGCACTCAGGTATGACAGTTTAGAAGTACCTTCAAACTGTCAATATCCCAGACCCGTACTCTAAAGTGCAGGCATTGTACTTCCCATTTCCATTACTCAAGTCCGATTAACTGGTTTCCCTGAATCCCTTCACAAAATATTACCCTGCTCACACTCCAACAGCTCGTTAGGTCCTAAAAACCATGTGTATCCATTCACTATCTAACACGCTCACGCATGCTTGCTGGAAGTCCAAGCCCCATATCTTGAACTCAAATATGATATGAGCTCTGTTAACTGCTGCTGCCACCATTGCCATCTCTTCTTCCTCACAATGTTCAAAAAACATGCCTCACACCCATACATGTCTGCACTCTTCAGCTCTTGTCACATTCCTCCTTTTCTTGCTGCAGTTGATACTTTTTTTTTTTTTAAAGAGGGTGAATGAAGGAGCACCTAGGTAGTAGGTTGGTAGACAGCAACCGCCCAGGGAGGTACTACCGTCCTGCTAAGTGAGTGTAAAATGAAAGCCTGTAATTGTTTTACATGATGGTAGGATTGCTGGTGTCCTTTTTTCTGTCTCATGAACATGCAAGATTTCAGGTGCGTCTTGCTACTTCTACTTACACTTAGGTCACACTACACGTACATGTACAAGCGTATATATACATACCCCTCTGGGTTTTCTTCTATTTTCTTTCTAGTTCTTGTTCTTATTTATTTCCTCTTATCTCCATGGGGAAGTGGAACAGAATTCTTCCTCCGTAAGCCATGCGTGTTGTAATAGGCGACTAAAATGCCGGGAGCAAGGGGCTAGTAACCCCTTCTCCTGTATATATTACTAAATTTGAAAGGAGAAACTTTCGTTTTTCCTTTTGGGCCACCCCGCCTCGGTGGGATACGACCGGTGTGTTGAAAGAAAGCAAGAAAGAATGAAGGAGCAAAACTATGAAAGTGATTGGTCAGAAAAAAGCAAGTGAAAGAGCAATACAGACATTCATAAAGATGAAGAATACCAGTTAAGTTAAATAATTTTAATTGGTGAAGATAAACTGATCACCAATAGGGTATAGGGCAACAGTGGAACAAAAGTAGAGAAGGTATGGGGATAAAGCATTCACATATTTTACCTTATACTCCACAGGGCTAAGATCCTTGAACCAGTGGAAGGCATTGTGAGTGATAAACACTAGACATGTAATAATAAGTAAGACAATGCTATATATAGTTATATCCTTTTTCAACCCTTGTCGAATAATAGAGAAAAATAGGAGGCTGAGCTGCAAGCAGACGATGGATACTATCACAAAATTGATAGCTGATGTGTGAATGTTTCTGCTAATTCTTGAGGGACCATAAGCAAAGTAGATATTATACTTATCCACCAGATGTTTGAACACCATATATAATGTACCTGTGAGAGAGAATTTTATTATGAAAGACTTATAAATAATAAATATTTACATTTTGTAGAAAAATAAAATGCCAAAGACAAATAAAAATCTGATAATTTTTAATTAATGCTAATCCACACACATACATTTAATTCCTGACATTTCTTAATTCATGTTACTAAAATTTCACAGATCTATGATTAAACTGTTTTTTTTTTTTTAGTGAAAAACAATATTAAACATGATGGTCATAAGACAACAATATACTAATTCATATAAACTTTTCCCTTTCCTCATTACATTAATATATGCAATATCAACAAGTAGATAAATAAGACATGTGCAACACCTGAGAATCTTTGTTTTATCAACGAGAGCTTTTTTTTAATTCAATATAAAGAGATCCACTCCCTCTTATCATTCTACACTTTTAAATGAAGAAATAAGTAGTACAGTGTTTAAGAACAAATTCTTTCATAAAAAGAAGCTGGCCTAAGATATAGTCTGATGCTAGGTTCAACATAGTGAGTAGACAACATACTTCTAAAATAAAAAATGGGTATGTCCTATAAGAAGAGGTTAAGGGAACCCAACTTGATGCCACTGGAGAACAAGAGGCATAGGGATGACGTGGTAATGGCATATAAAATACTGAGAGGAACAGACAGGGTGGACATGGCCAGAATGTTTCACAAATGGAACACAAAAATAAGGGGACACAAGTGGAAGTTGAAAACTTAGATGAGTCATAGAGATGTCAGGAAGCATTTCTTCAGCTTCAGAGTTGTCAGGAAGTAGAACAATCTGAAGAGTGAAGTAGTGGAGGAAGGATTCACACACAGTTTAAGAAGTATGAAGGCTCTTGGAGCAGTGTGTGTGGTCCTAGTGGCAACTAGCAAAGAAGTGGGACCAGGAGCTATGACTTCTCCCCTGCAACCACATGAAGGTGAGTACATGTACACATGCAACCCCCCCCCACACACACACACACACACACACACACACACAATACACACACACACGCACACACACGCGCGCACACGCACACACGCGCATGCACACACACACACACACACACACACACACACACACACACACACACACATATGCCCATGTACACACATCTATGCACAAGTACACACACACATCTGGTCAAGCATGTCAAGAATTAGAGAAAGTGCAAAGGTTTGCAACAAGACTAGTCCCAGAGCTAAGGGGTATGTCCTACGAGGAGAACTTAAGAGAAATCGACTTAACGACACTGAAGGACAGGAGAGATGGGGGGCACATAATAATGACATATAAAATACTGAGAGGAATTGACAAGGTGGACAGGAACAGGATGTTTCAGAAATGGGACACAGCAACAAGGGGTCACAACTGGAAGTTAATGACTCGGATGCATCACAGGGATGTTCGACAGTATTTCTTCAGTCACAGAGTTGCCAGGAAGTGGAACAGTCTGGAGAGTGATGTAGTGGAGGCAGGATCCATACATAGCTTTAAGAAGAGGTATGATACAGCTCACGGAGCAGGGAGAGCATGGACCTACTAGTGACCAGTGAAGAGGCAGGGCCAGGAGCTATGACTTAACCCCAGCATTCACAATTAGGTGAGCGCACGCGCACACACACACACACACACACACACACACACACACACACACACACACACAACACACACATGCATGCATGCATGCATGCACACACACACACATGATGAGGTATCACAGTGGGCACCTGTGACGAGTGGGGTCCCACAGGGGTCAGTCCTAGGACCAGTGCTATTTTTGGTATATATGAATGACATGATGGAAGAGATAGACTCTGAAGTGTCCCTGTTCATAGATGATGTGAAGTTAATGAGAAGAATTAAATCAGATGAGGATCAGGCAAGACTACAAAGAGACCTGGACAGGCTGGACATGTGGTCCAGCAACTGGCTTCTCGAATTCAACCCCGCCAAATGCAAAGTCATGAAGATTGGGGAAGGGCAAAGAAGACTGCAGACAGAGTATAGGCTAGGTGGCCAAAGACTGCAAACCTCACTCAAGAAGAAAGATCTAGGGGTGACCATAACACCGAGCACGCCTCCGGAGGCATACATTAACCAGATAACTGCTGCAGCATATGGGCGCCTGGCAAACCTGAGAATAGCATTCCGATACCTTAGTAAGGAATCGTTCAAGACACTGTACACTGTGTACGTGATGCCCATACTGGAGTATACAGCACCAATTTGGAACCCACATCTAGTTAAGCATGTCAAGAAATTAGAGAAAGTACAGAGGTTTGCAACAAGGCTAGTTCCAGAGCTCAGGGGAATGTCCTACAAAGAAAAGTTGAGGGAAATCGGCCTGACGACACTGAAGGACAGGAAGGTCAGAGGAGACATGATACCAACATACAAAATACTGCATGGAATAGATAACGTGGACAGAGACAGGATGTTCCAGAGAGGGGACACGGAAACAAGGGGTCACAATTGGAAGCTGAAGACTCAGACGAGTCACAGGAATGTTAGGAAGTGTATTTCTTCAGCCATAGAGTCGTCAGGAAGTGGAACAGCCTAGAAAGTGATGTAGTGGAGGCGGGAACCATACATTGCTTTAAGATGAGGTATGACAAAGGTCAGGGAGCAGAGAAAGAGAGGACGTAGTAGCGATCAGTAAAGAGGCAGGGCCAGGAGCTGAGTCTCGACCCCTGCAACCACAATTAGGTGAGTAAAACAACACACACAAGCGCGAGCCACACAGTGTACTTTTTTTTTGAGTGTTCATTTTTCTTTTTTTTTTAAAAAATTTCACCATAAGGGGAGGGCCTAATTACCCAAAAGAGTTGAGATAAACAATATAGATATAAAATTTGAAACTTTGGGTTTCCCCAGGTCCCTGTGTAAATTGCTCTAATGCCCCAATTAACTCTAAAAAGTTGGGAAAAAGGGAAAATTGTATGTTTACAACCAAATGGTAATGAGGGACAGAAATTGAAAAATAGTCATGGCAAAAATAAGTAGCTCCAAAGATACTGAACTCCAAAGGGGAAACTCGTAGGAATAGCCCTTTCTCACACTGGCTGTTGGCTTCAGATGAAATTTATTTATAATTTTTTTAAGCCTTATCTTAATTTAAAAAAAATCATTATTGATTAAGGGGCAATCTATGTATGTTTAAAAAAAAGTCCACTAAATTTTTTTAAACAATAAAAAACTGTTTTTACATAATACTGAGTTAAAATGTATACAGTTACACACAAAACAGGACAGTTCTGTACAAAGCCCCTACAAAATAGATTTCCCAAAGTCTAACATTTTTAATACCCACAAAAACAGGCATTTTGGAAACCAATTTAATTTTTTCATTTATCAACTCACGCTCAGAAAAATTTATAAAACAACCATTCTTTGTACTACTGTTTTTTTGTAAAATGGGACAATACCCAAAATATTTGAAGTACCGATATCGTATGAACTTTCACCAATACCCATGCTATTAATTTTAGCCAATATCCACAGATTCTCATAAAAGCAGATGCCCCCTCAAGCCATACTGATATTTAGTTTTTGCAAATACCATTACTACGAAATTTTTAAACCCTACCCATAGATATCAATGCTTTAGCAAACTCCTATTGTTTTTTCAAAAATATTCATTTGTATGTTAAGAACAAGGAAAGGAACTCCAAAAAAGGGGGGCTCCTTATAAAAAAACACCATACAAAATATTTTAATTTTTCAGATGATCCTACCTTGACAGAGCAAGTTTGCAGTATGTACATGAACAACTCAGGGAACCGAATGCTCAAGTGACGTTCAATAAAAAAGGCAGAGTGATACATATTGAAAAGAATGCCCATTTAAAAGGAAGAAAAAAGCAAATTCCCACGGAAAAATCTCGTTTTTTGATTCCCGTGAACTATCCATTCCATAAAACCCTTTTGCACTGAAATCAAACAACAAATTGAAATGCATTTCAAGTCTAATCTGATGTAAATGCATTCTAATTAGTGAAGAATTATTTATATTAACTCCATCACTACCCTATTTTATTTTTTTTTTTATTATCACACTGGCCAATTCCCACCAAGGCAGGGTGGCCCGAAAAAAGAAAACTTTCACCATAATCCACTCCATCACTGTCTTGCCAGAAGGGGTAGCTTTACACTACAGTTTTTAAACTGCAACATTACACCCCTCCTTCAGAGTGCAGGCACTGTACTTCCCATCTCCAGGACTCAAGTCCGGCCTGCCGGTTTCCCTGAATCCCTTCATAAATGTTACTTTGCTCACACTCCAACAGCACGTCAAGTATTTAAAACATTGTCTCCATTCACTCCTTCAAACACGCTCACGCATGGCCTGCTGGAAGTCAAGCCCATCGGCACACAAAACCGCCTTTACCCCCTCCCTCCAACCTTCCTAGGCCCCCACCCCTACCCCGCCTCCTTCCACTACAGATTGATACACTCTTGAAGTCATTCTGTTTTCAGCTCCATTCTCTCTCTACATGTCCGAACCACCTCAACAACCACTTCCTCAGCCCTGGACAACAGTTTTGGTAATCCCACATCCTCCTCCTATACTTCCAAACGACGAATTTCTCTGCATTATATTCCACCACACATTGCCTCAGACATGACATCTCCACTGCCTCCAGCCTTCTCCTCGCTGCAACATTCATCACCGACGCTTCACCCCATATAAGAGCGTTGGTAAAACTATACTCTCATACATTCCCCTCTTTGCCTCCAAGGACAAAGTTCTTTGTCTCCACAGACTCCTAAGTGCACCACTCACTCTTTTTCCCTCATCAATTCTATGATTCACCTCATCTTTCATAGACCCATCCGCTGACACGTTCCACTCCCAAATTTATCTGAATACGTTCACCTCCTCCATACTCTCTCCCTCCAATCTGATATTCAATCTTTCATCACCTAATCTTTTTGTTATCCTCATAACCTTACTCTTTCCTGTATTCACCTTTAATTTTTTCTTTTTGCACACCCTACCAAATTCATCC